TCCCTCTGGACCTCTCCACGCCCTCCTCCAGGACCAGGCCCTCGTCCCTGGGCCCGAGGGCCCGCAGCAGACCCCTGGGCCAGGGCTCGGCCCAAACGGTGTTTGGGTGATTTCGTGGGCCGTTTTCGTCTCGGCTTCGTTTTGCAGCAGAGGCTGCTTGAAGGCACAGCGTGGAAGAACGAACAGATAACAAAAACGACAAGGACTGTCCTGGTTCGAGTCGGGCCTGTCCCTCTACAGGAGGAATTTTCCAAAATAGTTAAAAAATTGTCAACGCACGATTTTTCTACCGTTTTTGAGCATTTGTGGGTCATGTTTTGGGTATCTTTAATTTTTCGCCCAAAATCCGCCTGTAGGGGGACACGCCCGACGTAAGTCCATGTCGATCCCTGCCCTGGACTCCTTAGGCCTCCTAGATGGGGTCGTAGTAGATGGGGTCGGAGGATCGGTCCTCTGGCCCCATCTGCTCGGACCTATCTGGGAGGCCTCTATTCGGGTATAGCCAGGACCCCGGTTAAGGGGAGCCGGTTAGCGATTGGTCCCCGAAGCCCAAAATATGGATTGGAATCACTAAACCAGGTCTGCCGTAGCTGATTCTTGCCGGGTTACGCCAATTCGGGTTCGTGGAATGGGAGGGGGGGGCCCCCTCTGGTACACATCACTAAACCAGGTCCCATTAAACCCAGTTCCGCCAACGCCCAATCTATGGGCCGCGCCCATGTCAAGAAACACCCTGCTTGTCTCCAGGGGGCCGTGGGTTTCTTGGGTTTCGCTGGTTTTGCTGTGCAAGGCGCGACGTTCCCACGCCAAACATCAATGGACTTCCTGGGGTCTCAGGGTTGGATTTCTTGTGGAAAGTTCTTTGCGGGCTGACCTCCACTGCTCGGGCCCATCTCCTCCTCTTCTCGGACCCATCTCCTCCTCCCCGTCTGCTCGGACCCATCTCCTCCTCTTCCTCCTCCTCCTCCTGCTCCTCCTCCTCCTCCTCCTCCTCCTCCTCCGCCTCCTCCTCCTCCTCCCCCTCCCCCTCCTCCTCCTCCTCCTCCTCCGCCTCCCCTCCCCTCCTCCTCTCCTCCTCCTCCTCCCCTCCTCCTCCTCCTCCCTCCTCCTCCTCCCTCCCTCTCCTCCTCCTCCTCCTCCTCCTCTCCTCCTCCTCCTCCTCCTCCTCCTCCTCCTCCTCCTCCTCCCCCTCCCCCTCCTCCTTCTCCGGGAGGCCCCTGTGGGCCTCGCTTGCGAGGCGCCCCGGCCAGACCATCCCGCGGGGGGCACGCCGCCGTGGCGGCCGCACTGCCAGGGGCCTCCTCCGGGAGGAGGCCCGGGAGAGGGCCCGCAGCGCGCTGCGCGCCTCGAGCGGCGCGGACCCTCGATGCTCCAGGGCTTCTGGGCCTCCCCTTAAGTCGGGCGTGTCCCTCTACAGTTTTGTTTGACAACCAATATATCTTTATATACATACAAACACACATATATATATCTATATATATGTATATGTATATATCTATACATATATATATGTATGTATACTTCAGCACTGAAGTCAGGGGAATATGTTTCTATATTTGGTGGACTATTCTGGGATACTTCTTGCCTTGTTTGTTTTTTTTGTTTTTCGGCCCAAATCCGCCTGCTGGGGGACATCCCCTTAGGTTGGGCGTGTCCCTCTACAGGAGTTGCCTTTTTGAGCCTTAAGAGGTCGCCCCCGCGCCAGGCGATCTCCGTCTGCCCACGGTCGGTCTAGGCACGGAGGTTGCCAGGCCTAGTGTTCCTTGAAGGAGCAGAAACCCAGGTGCGAGCGAGTTTTGTTTCTCACCAGGCTCTGCGGTACCAGCATGAGTCTGTTGTTAACAAGTCGGTGCTGATGCAGTATGAATGAATGTTTGAAAAATATAAAAGCACAAAAGTCAGGGGACGATGCTTCTATAATTGGTGGATCATTTTTGGATATTTCTTGGCTTGTTTGTTGCTGTTTTCATTTTGTTTCGGCTCAAATCCGCCTGTAGGGGGACATGCCCGACCTAAGCCTCCCCTGGTCGGTGCGGTCCCTCTCAAGCAGTGGCGGAGCGTCCTGGCTCGCCTATAGGCCCCCAGCGCAGAGCCTGTTTTGTGGTCTGCACAGAACGTTCTTAGAACATTTCTGGCCGAAGTTGTCTTGGTTTTACACGTTGGGCTTCTGTTCAAAGAACAGTTTTTTGGTTTTAAGAACATCTTGCAATGGCCTCCGGCCAGTGCCGCCGATCCGGGGGGCTCCGGATTCGGTGATCTTGGAGTCGTCGGGGACGCTGTTTGGGAGGGAGGGTGCTCTTGGAGTCGTGGGGGAGGCTTTTTGTCGCTGACGTGCCCTCTGGGGGGGTGCCTGGAGGGGTCTTTAGAACATATTTCGGGTGCTAGGAACATATCGTGGTAGGCCTACAGGACTGCCAGCGCGGTCGGTCCCTGCTCAGCCCCCGTCACGCTAGGCCCGCGGCCGCCTGGAGCAAGCCGGCGGCGGCGGCCATGCTGCCCGCGGCGGCGCCGCCGCCCGCCTGCGGCCCCGGCGGCGCGGCCGCGAGCTCGGGGCGAGTGGGGTTAAGGCGGGCCAGTCCCTCTACAGCTATGATGTTCCAACCTACTTGAGCCTAGATCGCCAGAAATAATTTCGAGTCTCAGAAAAGTACCGCCGAAACTCAAGTTTTCTCACGTGTCGGGCCCTGGGAGACACTCGTCCGACACTGTTTCGACACTCTTTCGACACTTTTCTGGGTGCTCGAAATTATGTCTGGGATGTGGTCCTTAAGTGCGATGTGAGCAACATAATTCTACTGGAGGAATACTCCAAAGTAGTCAACACATGCCCTCTGGACGATTTTTATGATTATTTGTAAAAGGCTATTTTTGCACATGTTTTGGCTTTGCAGTTTTTCGCCCAAAATCCGCCTGTAGGAGGAAATTCACGACCTAAGGGTTGGAGTGGCGGGTCGAGGGGTGGAGCGAAGGATCGTCGAGGGAATAAATGCGACGACCATGGCCAGGATGTCGCGGGGTGGTGTCGGCGCCGATTTTGGTCATGGTCCATGCTGGCCGTCGCCAATGCGCGAGGGTGGCGGGTCGAGGGGTGGAGCGAAGGATCGTCGAGGGAAGAAGTGAGATGACCATGGCCGGGATGTCGCGGGGTGGTGTCGACGCCGATCCTGGTCATGTTCCATGCTGGCCGTCGCCAACGCGCGAGGGTGGCGGGTCGAGGGGTAGAGCGAAGGATCGTCGAGGGAAGAAATGAGATGACCATGGCCAGGCTGTTGCGGGGTGGTGTCGACGATTATCCTGGTCATGGTCCATGCTTGCCATCGCCAATGCGCGAGGGTGGCGGGTCGAGGGGTGGAGCGAAGGATTGTCGAGGGAAGAAAGTGAGACGACCAGGGCCAAGATGTCGTGGTGTGGTGTCGACGCCGATCCTGGTCGTGGTCCATGCTGGACGTCGCCGATTCGCGAGGCCGATCCACGAATTGACACTGGCCAAGATGGGCGTTCAGTCTTGGTCAGGGTTGGCGACGGGGAGGAGCAGGAGGATGAGGACGAGTATCAGGAGGATGAGTGTGAGGACGAGTATGAGGGCGAGGGCGAGAGCGAGGACGAGGACGAGGATGAGAATGAGGATGAGGATGAGAAGGAGGAGGAAGTGGAGAAGGAGGAGGGGGACGAGGAGGAGGAGGCTGACTGCGCGGAGGGCCTCCCGAAAGCATCCTCGGGGAGCCCGCCCGTCGCCTCGCCGAGCCGTGCGAGCGGAGGCGGTGGGGATCGGCGCGGCGGTCTCTGCAGGACACGGGCAGGACGCCATCACCCGTGGGCGCTGCTGATGGGCGGCGGCTCCCGCCTCGTGCCCTGGCACGGGGGAGACTAAGATCAAGCAGTGGCGAAGCGTCCTGGCTCGCCTAAGAACCTTTCGTGGTTCCCACGAGATGTTCTTAGAACATTTCTGGCCGGGACTGTCCTGTTTTGACACATCGGGTTTATGTTCTAAGGACACTGTTTTTTGTACTGAGAACACTGTGGGGGTTCTGAGGACATCTCGTGGTATGACTCTAGGAATGCCGGGACGGCCGGTCCCTGTTCAACAAGAGCCACGGCGTGTAGGTGCTCGGTGTGGAGCGCCAGCCTCTCTCCGGAAGGCCCTGTCTTTCGCTGGCCATCCCCCCCTAACACACCCCATGCCCGTCTTGATCCAAAGGGATCTCGGGAGGAGGGGGAGATGGACAAGGAGGAAACGAAGGATTATTGTAATGGTGCCGAGGATGATGCTGATGATGATGATGGTGATGATGATGCTGCTGACGATGGCGATACTGATGCTGCTGGTGATTATGATGATGCTGATGTCGATGATGATGATGATGCTGAAGCTGGTGATGATGCTGATGGTGTTGCTGCTGCTGATGATGCTGGTGGTGATGATGGTGATGTTGATGATGATGGTGATGCTACTGATACTGACGCTGCTGATGTTGATGCTGCTGATGATGATGCTGATACTGATCATGAAGGTGATGCTGATGACGATGCTGATGATGGTAATGCTGATGGTGCTGCTGCTGATGATGATGCTGCTGCTGATGATAATGATGATGATGATGATGATGATGATGATGATGATGATGATGATGATGATGATGATGATGATGATGATGATGATGACGATGGCGGGACTGATTATGTGTATGCTCATGATGGTGATGATGATGTTGTTGATGATGCTGCTGCTGATGATGATGATGAGGGTGCTGATGCTGATGATGCTGAGGATGCTCATGATCATGATGCTGCTGATGATGATGATGCTGATGATGATGCTGATGCTGCTGCTGATGATGATGACGATGATGATGATGATGATGATGATGATGATGATGATGATGATGGTGGTGGTGGTGGTGGTGGCGATGATGATGATGGTGATGATGGTTAGGAGGAGGAGGAGGAGGAGGAGGAGGAGGAGGAGGAGGAGGCGGAGGCGGAGGAGGCGGAGGAGCAGGAGGAGGAGCCCTTTGCAGTTCGAGCGCCCCGCGAGACGCGGCACACGCCTGCAGATCGTGCCGCTTGCTGCAGCATGGCGGAGGCAGGCAGCGGGGGCGCCGCCCCGCCGCCCATGATGGCGCAGTCGGGCAGCGGCGGCGTCGCGGCGCCCGGACCACGAGGACCCTCCTCCTCCTCCTCCTCTGCCGCCTCCTCCTGCTCCTCCTCCTCCTCCGCCTCCTCCTTCTTTTCCTCCTCCTCCTCCTCCTCCTCCTTTCTCCTCCTCCCCACCTCCCTCATCCTCCTTCTTCTCCTTCTCCTCTTCCCCCTCGTTTTTCTCCTCCACCTCCTCCTCCTCCTCCTCCTTCTCATCCTCCTCCTCCCCCTCCCGCTCATTCTCCTCCTCCTGCTGCTGCTGCTGCTGACCCTCGCTTTTTATGCTGTACTTCCACATCCGGGCGACAACTTCCCTGCACGAGCTACCTCGTGAGGTATCGTAGTTGAACGGGCCCAGGGAATGGCTGGAGACCTCTCGACGGATATTCAAGGTGATATTTTCGGTGACGGGTCATGTACGAAAAGAGTCGTTCCCGAACTCGATCATGCGGGATGGGGGTTCTCAGTCTGGGACAGAGTTACAAGTCTCGAGATGCTCCGTGTCAGAGGCCCTGTGTGGGGCCCTGTGCCCCAGACTCCGCAAGCTGCATCATTTTTTTCGCATAGCGTCTCCGAACAGTGGTCGGTCGGCCAGTCCACGTGGTTTTTGGATTGTTGGAAATGTGCCGTTTTTCATGGCTTGCCCTTCCAGGCCCAGTGTTCTCCGAAGCGCAGCTATGCGGGTGCTGCGCAGTTTTGCAAGCCTTTTTCTCACCAGTGCATCGTTGCCAAAGTGAAAGCGCACCAGCACAAGTCCGATGGCGAAGATGCTTTTGAGCGTTACCTGCGTGAATGTAGCAGTGCTGCCAGTGCTGCCGATCGGTCTTCCAAGCCTGCCGCCGAGTTGCATCCTGAGTTCGACCTGGATGCCTCTGGGCAGGTGGATTTGGCCTGTGGAGTGGCGTTGGCGGTGGCCGTGCTTGCTGCTCGTCTTTCGCCACTGTGGGCCACAGCTCGACACGGGTCCTGACGATGTTGAGCGTGTCCGCCCTCCTCCGCGTGCCAGTGTTAGTCGCTCTTCCAGGGCTTGCCACGCCTTGTCCTTTACGGGCCGTTTTCGGCAGTGCTCGCGCCGGTTCCGGGGGGCCCGGGCTGTGGAAAAGCCTGCTCTGAGAGTGGGCCGCGGAGGGTTGGGCGCCGGGGTTCGAGGTAATGATGCTCCGAGGCTCACGGCACGGGGCGCCCAAGATGCTCTACATCGACGCTTCTGACGGAAGTTTTGTTTTTCCCAACCCTCCTGTGTGGATTCTCGTTTTGAATTAGAGCACTGCGATTTCCAACCTTCCTCTTCCTCCTTCCTCCTCCTCCTCCTTCTCCTCCTCCTCCTCCTCCGCCGCCTCCTCCTCCTCCTCCTCCTCCTCCTCCTCCTCCTCCTCCTCCTCCTCCTCCTCCCCCTCCTGCCTCTTGTTCCTTCCTACTTCCTGGGAAGTTCAGTGAGTGGCTCCCTGTGGGGCTTCTGCGAAGCGTAAAGTTGTCGCCACTTTCGTGGGCTCCTGGGAGGTCGCGCGGAGTGGAGTCCTAAGGGGACCCAGTTGAGACCTCGCGGCTACCTTGGGGGCTGCGAAGTGCGAAGCTGTCGCCACTTTCGTGGGCTCCTGGGAGGTCCAGCGGAGTGGAGAGGTACGGGGACCCAGTTGAGACCTCGCGGCTCCCTGTGCTGCTGCGAAGTTGTCGAACTCTTCGACGCCTGAGCGTCCTTTCTTCCTCTCGGCCGTCCCCCCTCCTCTCTTTGCCCGCCGGCGAATTCGCGATTTAGTCCCCATTTCTAGCTTCTCGCTGGGGCGGAGTTCGCCGCCTCGCCGCCGACAAAAAAACTGTGGGGCTGCGAAGTGTGAAGCTGTCGCCACTTTTCGTAAGCTCCTGGAGGGTCCAGCGGAGTGGATTGATACAGGGACCCATTTGAGACCTCGCGGCTCCCTGGGGGGCTGCGAAGTGTGAAGCTGCTGCGTATTGTCGGTGGCTCCTGGGAGGTCGCGCGGAGTGGAGTGCTACAGGGACTCAGTTGAGACCTCGCGGCTTCTGTGAGGTCCAGCGGATTGGAGAGCTATGGGGCCCCAGTTGAGGCTTCGCGGCTCCCTGGCGGGCTGCGAAGTGTGAAGCTGTCGCCTTTTCCCGGGGCTCCTGGGAAGTCTGGCGGAGTGGAACGGTACGGGGATCCAATTGGGACCTCGCGGCGCCCTGGGGGGCTGCGACGTGTGAAGCTGGGAGGTCGCGCGGAGTGGAGTGGTACAGGGACTCGCGGCTCCCTGGGGGGCTGCGACGGGTGAATTTACGTCTTTTCGGGCTCGCGGCTCCTCGGGGGGCTGCGAAGTGTGAAGCTGTCGCCACTGTCGTTGGCTCCTGGGGGGTCCAGCGGAGTGGAGTGGTACGGGAACCCAGTTGAGACCCCGCGGCCCCACGGGGGGTTGCGACGTGCGAAACTGCCGCCACTGTCGTGGGCTCCTGGGAGTTCGCGCGGGGTGGAGCGGTACAGGGGCCCAGTTGAGACGTACGTCGCGGCTCCCTGGGGGAGGGGGTGGGGGCAGGGGGCTGCGACGTGTGAACTTGTCGCTACTTTCGGTGGCTGCTGGGAGGTCGCGCAGGAGTGAAGTGCTACGGGGACCCAGCTGAGACCTCGCGGCTCCGTGTGGGGCTGCGAAGTGTGAAGTCGTCGCCCCTCTCTTGGGCTCCTGGGAGGTCCAGCGGATCGGAGTGGTACGGGGACCCGGTTGAGACCTCGCGGCTCCTTGGGGGGCTGCGACGTGTGAAATTGTCGCCTGTTTTCGGTGGCTCCTGCGAGGTCCAGCGAAGTGGAGTGGCTATGGGAGCCCGTCGAGACTTCGTGGCTCTCTGGCCCCCTCGCGGCAGGGAGGGCGCGCGAGGTCGGCCTGGAGCATTTCCCGCACCACTGACGGAAGCACTTTCCTGCAGTGTCCGGCGGGTCGCCGGCGCCTCATGGGCGCGAGCGGCGACGAGATTTGCAATTGGTGGCCACTGCTCTTATCGCGCGGCGCTGTCCCATCACGCAGCGCGTAGTTCTGTCGCATCGCAGCTCGCTGGGGGCCGCTGCGCCACGCAGCGCGTGGCGTGGCGTCCCGTCCCATCCTCAGCTGCCTCTGGCCCGCCATGCCGCCCCTTGCGTTTGCCTCACTCAGCGCGACGCGCTGTTTTGCTTCAGAGATGGCGCTGTTCTGTCCCGCGTATGTAGCCCTCGGCGCTGCAACTGTCCCTGAACATGCACGTGCCCCCTTCGCCCTCCTCCGCATGCTTCTGTCCCCGTCCCTATCTTGCTATTATCGCGCGTTGATCTTGTGCACTCTTTGGAGCGCATGCGCGCTGCGAGGAGTCCTTCAGCCTGTTTGTTTATAGTGGGCGCTCTTTTTTTCGGCTAGACGCTGAACCATCTGTGCAGACGAAATAGAATTCAAAGCGCGTAATCAGCCCCAATGGGTCTGGGTTTGGGTGAGGGCGAGTGCGGCGAGGCTGGCCTTCCATGCAGACGCTTGAGCGGTCGCACCTCCTCCCATTCGATGGCAGTGATCGATCTTACATATACCCGCCATGCGTTGAGAAACGGGTTGGGCACGTCGCCGGGAACAAATTTCTCGGTGCTGCAGGTTTTACACGTGTGGCGGCCCGTTCCGTGGTTGACGGGGAAGTTGTGCGCCGCTGTTCCGCCTCGGCGCGCAGGGGAGAAGGTGCGTTTGGAACCGAGTTTGTCAAGGTCGCCGCCACTGTGGACGTCGGTGCATCGTCGGAGGCGGCGAAGAAGAGGGTGATGACCATGGGGTTGGATATGGTGGCGGGTGTTATGGTATTTCCCCAGAGGTCATGCCGCCTCTTCTTATTTCAATACGTCCCTGACCTCCTTTCCTGGGCCGCGCACGTGCCCCTGGCCATGATTTTCGCTCCCCCTTCTTGGGCGCTCCCGGCATGGGCTTCTTCTTTTGCGGAATATGAGGCCCCTTTTTACCTCCCAGCATCCCTCTTTCCTTTTTCGGACAATGATTTGGAAGATGCCCGACAACTGCGAATCGTGGCGATGTTTCTTCACCTGCTCGACGCAGTTTCGGGCTCTCGCTCGAGTGCGGCAGTGCCCGCTTTGTGTGGTCACGAGCCGGGTTCTACGTGGTAGGCCTTGCCCTCCCGCTTGTGATGTACGTGGGCTGCGGCCTGCCGTTGATGGTCCCCCCCCCTCCTTTTTCAGATTTGTTGTTTTGTTTTTCCTCCTCCTCCTCCTCCTCCCGCTCCTCCTCCTCCTCCTCCTCCTCCTCCTCCTCCTCCTCCTCCTCCTCCCCTTCCTCCACGTGGGCTGTGGCGTCCAGGCTGGGACACTCCTCCTCCTCCTCCTCCACCCCCCCCCGCTCCCCCTCTCCCTCCCCCTTCCCCTCCTCCTTTGCCCCGGAAGGCAGGAGCAATAGGGGGAGGAGTGGGAGGAGCGGGAGGGCGAGGCGAATGCGGACGAGGATGCGTGGGAGGGGGAGAGGGAAGAGGGAACGGGAATTTAGATGACTTTAAGCGTTAATGTTTCGGTCGCCTTGCTTATCTTTTGTCGTCCCCGTGCCTGTGGGAGCCTCGGGGCTTGGGAGTCGGAGGTCCCTGGAGACTTCCGCCGCATATTCCCGAGGAGGGGGATTCAGATTCGTGGATTGTGATTTTGAGGCCGCCCTCGTGGCCACGCCTGGATCTGCTTCGAAATTCTGGTCAGATCGCGCTCCAGGACAGGTTTGCGGGTCGGCTTTGGTGGGGGCGGACAGTCAGAAGAGGGCAGCATGATCAGATGGAGGGAGGGGGCAGGAGAATGAGGCCGGGGACGAGAAGGGGGACAGGGAGGGAGAGGGAAGGATTGCGGGAGAGAGTGGGTTATGATTCTGCTGCTGCTGATGATGATGCTGTTGATGATGATGTTGGTGATGATGCTGATGATGCTGATGATGGTGATGCTGGGTTGTTGCTGATGATGCTGAGGATGGTGATGATGATGCTGATGACGATGGCCTTGTTGCTGCTGCTGCTGCTGCTGATGATGATGATGATGATGATGATG